ATTTCCTGTTAATTCAACTCTGGTCTAATTTACATTCCATATACAGTGACAGTATATATCCATCCGATATTTAAATATTTTATTATAAAGCAACTAGCTAATGTCACGTCGACAACTAAAAAATAATTGCTAATGTATTCCCACATTTATTTTGACTTTTTATTTACGCCGGGACATCGTGACATCATACACTATTCACTTATCAATTACATTTTCATTTCTTTGAATGAGATAAAATCGTCCAAATGCGTTCTTCATGATGTAAATTAGAGTCAAGGGTGTAACTGGTTACTGTACAGGGTCAATAGTCATATATCGTCTCAATCTATCTTCCCTCGATCCATGATGATCAAGGAGACACAATTTAATCTTGACATATGGTTAGATCATAAAGGGAGAAGCATTTTATAAAAATAATATATCGTGTAATGCATTATTCGTTTTGTAAACCATTATCATACGTATCACCTAATTCGTCTAAGTGACGAATTAAAGTCTAGTATTTATTTTGTGTCTGTATAGAAGAAATTATTATTATTCTTCCTCAATTTTGTTCGCAGGATATCTCAAGAATGGCTAAAGCCATTATCATGAAACTTGCCATGATGATAGATCTTTGCCTAACTTAGAACTGCGTGACTTTTCAAAAACTCAAATTCATTGTGACGTCATCCAGGCGCCATTTTGTGAAAATCAACTTATGATCATATCTTCATAACGGAAAGTTATATCTCATTCATAATTATCACGATTAAGATCAATATCCGTCCGGTCAATTTCAAGTCATTTAACGTGCGCAAATGCGCGCGTGCACGTTTGTCCGCGCGTTTACGCGCGCGCAAAAATTAAAAATGCTCTAAATCATCCCAAATTTTTTTTGCATACGTTTCAGGCCATATGGAGCATTTGACAAAAAAATATGCTCACGCGCATGCGCGCGCGTTTTTTGCGCGTACTAGCATTTTGCAACATAGAATCGCCGAAATTTCTCTATCATCATATTTGGCACATTTTTCCAAGCATTTTGATAACTTGTTAACCCTTTAATAACGCAATGAGCGTCCGTCGAAGTTGACAGCGCGCGCGGACCTGCGTTATCTTTATCCACAATACATGAGCAAAAACATGCCTATACAAAAATCTTTTTAACTCTTCAGAATAGATATGAACTCCCAATATTCTTTCATAATTAGATAGATTATGAGTCGGAAATATGATTTCATGTCTCATTTGACCCTCAATTAACCCATGACGTCATCATAATGGCCTCCAAACTCAAAATTTCAATTTGCATATTATGACGTCAGCATATTTTTGGAAAATTGATTGTATCTCTGTAGATATTGATCGTTTTTCTTCCAAATTTTGATATGTTGTAGCTGAGACAATTTTCTACCAATGCTATACCCGTAGTTTTTCATTTTGACAAAGACACCATCGCGTATTTTTGCGATTAAAGGAGGAATGTCGATTTTGCACATTTTGCGTGTATTCTCTATGGGACATGACTTTTTTTCAAAACTGGATTCTACATTCCTGTCTTTTGCGAGCAAAATCTCCGTTGTAGTAGCTTAGTTTTTGCTGAGCTTCGAATATGTTGTAGCTGAGACAATAATCTATCACACGTGTGCCTTTCATGTTTCGATCAGATGCCGGGATTATTCTCATATTTCACTTCCAAAGTAAGATTTGAGCATTCGATTTCCCGTTTACGTGTAATTTCTATGGGAAATGTTTTGGTATATCGGTAACGCACTAGACTTCCAACCTCGAGATCCCTGGTTCGAGTCCGGGCGTCTCTAACCATTTTTTTTCTTTACTTTTTTTTTCTTTTTGACCTTTCACTGTACCATCTCCTTTGATTATTAAAACACTTAGATCCGCAAATAATGTAATAAACAACCCTATTTACTTTATTATTACCCTTTTTTTCACTTAAACCATTACTTTTTGTGTGTAATCCCTATGGGAGATTACTTTTCCTCAAATCTTGATTCTACATTTCTGTCTTTTGCGAGCAATATCGCCGTTATTCCTGCTTGGAATTTGTTGATTTTGAGGATGTTGTAGCTGAGACTATATGCTATCTAAATTACCCCTCATTTTTCAATAAGATATCAGGCTCACGCTCATGATCATGATCATCTTCATTATCATCATGATCATCATTATCATAATGATGATAGTCATTTATCAATTACATTTTCATTTCTTTGAATAAGATAAATTCGTCAAAATGTGTTCTTCATGATGTAAATTAGAGTCAAAGGTGTAACCGGTTACTGCATAGAGTCAATGGTCATATATTGTTACAATCTATCTTCCCTAGATCCATAATGATCAAGGGATCGACACAATTTAAACTTGACATATGGATAGATCATCATGGGAAAAGTATTTTATAAAAAAATATGCTATCGTGTATTAAATTTATTCTTCGTTATGTAAACCAATATCATACGTATCACCTAATTCGTCTAAGTGACGAATTAAAGTCTAGTATTTATTTTGTGTCTGTATAGAAGAAATTATTATTATTCTTCCTCAATTTTGTTCGCAGGATATCTCAAGAATGACAAAAGCCATTGTCATGAAACTTTCAATGATGATAGATCTTAGTCTAACTTAGAACTGCATGACTTTTCAAAGACTCAAAATGATCGTGACGTCATCCAGGCGCCATTTTGTAAAAATCAACTTATGACCATATCTTCATAACGGAAAGTAATTTTTCATTCATATTTATCATGAATAAGATCAATATCCTTCCGGTCAATTTCAGATCAAAAAACGTGCGCAAATCCGCGCGTACGCGTTCTTGCGCGCGTTTACGTGCGCGCAAAAATTTAAAATGCTCCAAATCATTCTTAATTTTTTTTGCATACGTTTTAAGCCATTTGGAGCATTTTACAAAAAATCACTCAAACGCGCATGCGCGCGCGTTTTTTTGCGCGTTCCGGCATTTTGCAACATATAATCGCCAAACATTTTCTGTCATCATGTTTGGCACAATTTTCCAAGCATTTTGATACCATGTTTATCTCTTTATCACTATTAATAACGGAATGAGCGTCCGTTCAAGATAAATATCCGTGTGTCCCAGAGCTCATGTATTACATAGTATATATGGGCAAAAACATGCCTATAAAAAGTCCATTGGGATGAATAAGGACTGCCAAGTTTTTTTCACATTTTAATAATAATAATAATAATAATGTAACTTATATCGCGCCAAATCCACTCTGTGGAGTGCTCAAGGCGCGTGTAAACAGGAAAAAAGATCAAGACTTGAAAAGAAATGTTTTGAGATGAGTTTTGAAAGAATCAGAGGATAAACATTTTTTGATGTCTTCAGGAAGGCCATTCCATAATTTAGGACTAGAGTATGCAAAAGATCTTTTCCCCCACGTTTTGGTAATTTTGGGGGTTACAAGAAAATTGGAAGTGGATGAGCGTAGAGGTCTTGCAGGAGTGTAGTTTTGGATTAGAGAGATAAGGTATTGAGGAGCAGAGCCGTGAACGCAATGAAAGGTGAGCAACAAAATTTTGAAAACAATGCGATCTTTTACTGGGAGCCAGTGTAGCGACTGCAAAACTGGGGAAATGTGGGTACGCTTGGTGGTCAGAGAAACAATACGAGCTGCAGCGTTTTGAAGCTTCTGAAGCTTGGACACTAGATTCTGGGGTAGATTGATTAGGAGGGCATTGGCAAAATCAAGACGGGAGGAAATCAGAGCATGAACTAATTTTTTTTTGATAGAGTATGAGTCAGAGATATGATTTCATAGCTCATTTGGCCATTAAATACATCCTGACGTCATCATAATGGCCTTGGAAGTCAAAATACAAAATTGTATATTATGACGTCATTATATTTTTTGAAAATTTAGTGTATTTCTCACAATATTGACTGATTTTCTTCCAAATTGCGGTATCTTGTAGCTTAGGAAATTGCCTACAAGATCAATACACACTGCTTTTTATTTTATTGACGTCATTATAGTACAAAATTCAATTAAAGGCCACATGTCAGAATTTTCTCAATTTGCGTGTTATGTCTACGTAAGGTGAAATTCGTTCTCATCATGGATCTACATGACATTGATCTTTGAGCACTATCTAGCATATTTGTGCTTTATGTTCTCCAAAACTTTGATACGGCGTAGCTAAGCAAATTATCTATAAGAATGATGTACATCATTTATCATTTCGATGACATCATCATAGTGAAAATTTCAATTAAAGGTGACAAGTCAGAATTTTCTTAGTTTGCGTGTTAGGCGACTTTTTCTGAAATCCTGATTCTACAAATCTCTATCGAATACCGGAAGGGGGCGCTATACCACTCTTAATCATGGTCTTTATCGTATTTATGATCATTATCATTAGATCATCATCGGCACACTTTCATGATAACAAAATAGCACGTATCACCTAATTCGTCAAAGTGACGAATTAAAGTCTAGTTATTATTGTAATCTTTGCCAATGATCTATAGCCTGTGAATGTGGTACAGTTTAAGTTAAGTATTATCACGATTACAAATATTTTCGAAAAACAAATGTAGGCTCACATTGAAATGCGCCAATTATAGTGACTAATTACGCAAACCAAACATGTTTCTAACGGCTCGTCCAGACAAGGCGCGGCAAAACTTTGGCTTAAAAAAAAAGATTATGTTTACATAAGGTGCAATACGTTTCACATGTCTATATGTTATGACACATAGCTCAGTTGCCCTTCATATACACGTAACCCCCCCCCCCCCAAAAAAAAAAAAACAACAACGAACAAACAAACAAACAAACAAAAACAAAAACAAAAACAAAAACAAAAACAAAAACAAAAAAACAACGTTAACAACAACAAAGCCCCATATCCGAATAAAAAGCCCTAAGGGATAAACAATAGGGTCTAGAACTTGCCATTGAGCTGATTTCTTGAAAATCCGAGCGATCGTTTTTGTTATATTTATTGTTTCTCCTCCTTTCAAACCCCAGCTGTGGTGGATCTACCAGACCCAGTTCCATTCCGGTTCATCCCAGACACTAATCTGACTGTCGAGTTCTTTATCAACGCCGCAGGAGGAGTATGGATCCAGGAACGTACCATTGATTCTCTAGCCTTTGGATGCACTGAGTTCCTGCCAGATCTTGAGTCCATGATACCCGATTTCCGCACGTTCTCTGCTTTTTATGAGCCAGTCTGCAGAGAGGTACTTGTAGCAGCCAACGACCTGGCAGTCTTCGACGCAGAGAGTTCCTGTACTGATTTAACAGCTGTTTTTACTGATTTGATATCCACGGACGACGGCTACAGGAAGCGGAGGCAAGCAGATATGGCGGAGGAAGATATGTTTGATTTCATCGGAATCCTAAGTAATACTACCAAAGACCTCTACGGCTTGAACATCTCCGACCAATCCACCGTATGTCCCAATATCAAGCAGTTTCTAGAACCATCATTACCCGAAGTGGCCACCAGGTTTCTCACTGAGCTGACCAGCGCAGTGCTTCCTCAAGCAGCCCCCTACTTTTGTGAAGATTGGGAACAGTTCCTTTCAAGTGTCGGGATCTCCAAGACATCGCCCCACTATCCAATCATCTACGATTTGGCAGATATAGGATCTCAAATGCTTGGACATGACAGCAGGGATGCTATCTGCGAGGCCATTCAACAGGCTCTATCATATGGACGTAAGGCATTTAGGATCAATACGGACTTTACACTATCACCCCAATAGCATATTGATGATATCGGACCAGCCCCTTCCGACAGGAAGCTTACACTCAGTATGGGGGTGTTTTTGTCTGTCCCGAAGCTTGTCAAATATAAAGCCGTAACTTTTGCCTTAGGATTTACAAAATGTATGCTTCACATAGGACTAACAATATGTCTTTCATATTATTATATAACATAATTCTTAAAATAATTCTGAAATACTGCATATAAGTTTTTACATATTCATCTTGTAGAGTCAAAGACATATTGTTGCATTTGCGTCGCATGGAATTTCGTTTGGTATCTCTCTATATTAGTTGTCCGATTGTTCCATTCTTTAACATATTTTGTATTCTATTTCGTGTGTACACATAGGGGCAGACCGGAAGGCCTTAGGGAGGGATGCTCTTGAGAGTTTCCTCGATATCTTCACCGACGTAGAGAGATGTATGATGATTGGGAATGACGCAATTGATGACATCATCGAACCTCTCTTCGGGATCGATGTTCCTGGGTTTGAAGTCACGAGCTACCTGATCTCTCGATACACCGGTTACAATGGAGTTAAAGATATCTGCAATGCACTTGAGACGGCATTTACCGGTGAGTTTAAACGATTTCGTACCTAGGGTGGCCACACCTGCCCAAGAATGGGAGATGCCTTGACTAGCAAAGGTGTCATGGTGTATTAGTAGGCCTATAGTGGTTGAATCTCAATCAAAAGGTCGAGGGTTCGAATCCTAGCCTAGGATTAATACGACTAACGTTCTCTGGCAAGCCATTAATCCAATTGTCTGCCACTCTCAACCGGGCATTAAATAGGTACCCGGTATGATGCGAAAGTCATTGTGGTTTACTCAGCATCTTTGGGGCGTCTATTTAATAGGGACTTCTAGATGTGCGTGGACTGCTACGTGTAACATCCTTTTAAAGTACTGTCAGTCACATGTGACGTCCTTTAAAAGAACGTCACACGCAGCAGTCCGCTTTGTCAACGTGCAAATCTAAGAATCCATAATGAGGCATGGCCAAGGGGTGCACTCGGGTGAGAATGTGCATATTACATGGTGTGCAGGTAAGCCTGCCAGTGCATAAGAACTCAGCATAAAAGTGGATTTCCTTATGATTGTATTATTTTGTCTTCACCGTTATTGTATACAGTGTTATCTGGGAGTACTCTGACACTGACCATAACCGGTGAAACCCTTAATGGCGAAGAACTGATGTACACAACTGACCTGACCAACATGGCCTCCCCTGCTTTCAAGAAACTTGAAACAATCTACTGCGGAGTGGTACGTAAACATTGTTACATGTCATTTTTCCGAAGTCCATTATTCTGAAGGTTCGTTTTTTCCGAAGGTTCGTACATATTGAGAGAGGATTCACGATTCCGAAAAAAATTAAAGGGTTCAATACAAATGGTTCATACTTCTGAAAATGAGTTCCTGATATACTATCGAAATTTCACGAGATTTGTATCTGAAAAGATGGCCGAAAAAACCCGAAGTTTTTATATTGCTATGCACTTCCTAATTCCGCAATAATGTACCTTCATTCGGAGATTGCAGAATCTTTTCTTATTTGTAATAGATGAAAAGCTCAGTCTATTAAAGTAAAGTTTCTATGCCTCCCTCTAATTTTCTATCACCCTTTTCTCTCTCAATATGTTTCGTATCACACATAAAGTGAACGAGGTCCATAAAACCCATTTAAACAAGAGACTGTGTCGATATCGTTTTCTTGACAGGCCACGAATCATCTCGAGCGGGAGCTAGGATCAGATCTTCGTAGACTGGACTGTGTAGCCAATTCGTTCAATCCTGGCAGCATTGTCGCTGAATTAGAGATTCAAGTCTTTGCTACCACCCAAGATGTGGCTGATTCTCTCGCTGAAGACGTGGCTGAGCTGTCTACCGGTGAAGGTCTCGTTCTCTCCTCCGATGGGGACTCCATGTCCGTATCATCGTTCTCGGCTACTCCTAATTCCGGTAGGCTAGTCCATCTTTAAAATAGTTATAGTCATATCGATGTGTGGTGCAGTGGTCAAATGGTCTAGTGGTTACGCCCCGGACTGTATATAATGATAACAATACTAATATTTCGCGTATATAGCGCTTAATACAATGTCTCTAAGCACTTTAAAGATATACTATAACCCCGGTCATTGGATTCAGTGCTTACCCACACACACTGTGTGCGCAATCTCCACTCCCTGGGGAGCATTCTAGCCAGGTGTTACTCGACGCTCAAAAACTATTCGACCAATATCACATGGTTCATGGTTCGCGGTACAAGTCCCGGCTGGAAATATTTTTCCTTTTGCGAGACATTAATCTACATATGCCACTCTCCATCCAGGTGTTAAATTGGTACCCGGTTGGAAGCGAGCGTTAGTGTTGTTGGATTGGCATGTGTGCGCTTGTAAAGTGGCGCATGGCCGAACTACTCCTCAGGGAGCGCAGCGTGTGCACCGTCATGTGCGGATCTGGAATTGAATCCAATGACAGGGGAAATAATGATAATAACAATTTAAATGGCTCAGAAACGTAGTAAATAGCGCTTTACAATATGACTATTATTCACTATGAATATGACGGACAAAGAAAGAGGTCAAAATATACAGTTCCTAAGGTACACAAAGGAACATCCCTTCACTGCTTTTATGTAAAAATGAGTAAAATAGGTGAATATGCATGTGACACCTGTTCAACACATTTTTACATAATAGAAGTGAAGGGCTGTTCCTTTGTCTACCTGAGGAACTGTATATTTTGTCCTCTTTCTTTGTCCGTCATCTTCATAGTGATTATTCCTTCGATCAAGGAGTTAATTTATTATATACATTTATTATGGGGTACGAATTACACTGATATAAAAAAAGTTCACCAAACTTCGGTCGAACATGACAATCTGACCTTTTTTCAAGAATTTAGATCGATAAATGATATTCAATACAAGCAATTAAGAGTTTTATTTTGGTATATTGGTTAAATATAAATACATGAACACAACATCGAAGGGCCTCCACCGGTCACCGGACTCTAAACTCTAATTTTAAACGCAAAATGTACATACTCAAATTATTATTAAAGTTTTATTCAAGACAGGTCTTGAGAGTATTCTTTTAATTATGTTTCACTTTCTTCATCTCTCTTGAATTCCAGCTACTACCAATGGTGGGCGGGGCTTGTTAACTGGAGCTATTATAGGCATTGCAGTGGGCGTGGTCATAGTAGATGTCGTGGTTCTATAACTCATTGGATACTTCGTCGTTCGCCGCCCAGGTCAAAAACGTTCGACGATTGCCTGAGAGTACTGCATTATTTGGTTGGTTTGTTTGAATGTGTGTTTGCTTGTCTGTTTCTAGTTTGTGCTGAACTCAATGTTTTTTGGCTTCAAGCACATCACGCCATGTTCAGACTGAAGCCCTTGTGTATCATCACCCCTTAATGCACTATTATGTTAATGCTACGTTGGTATGTAAAGGTAATATATTGTTTAATGTTTTGTTTGTTTGTTTCTACTTTGTGCTGAACTCAGTGTTCCTTGGCTTCAAGCACATGATGTAATGTTTAAATCAGACAATATTGTCCATACGGTTTGTAAATGCATTGTCAATCATTGTTTTTTTTATGTAAGATGAAACAGTAGCAAATAAATAATTCAAAATCAGTTACAGATGTAGATGAAGAATAATTTTGAAATCATATCATGATTTTTAATCGAAAAATTTATTAAGAATGTAATTGCTAATAGCACTTGTAAATGCATTGATTTACATTGGTATGTAGAGGGTGTATATAGTTTAAAGTCCATACGTTTTGTAAATGCATTGGCAATCATTGTTGTTTATGTAAGATGAAACAGTAGCAAATGAATAATTCAAAATCAGTTACAGATGTAGATGAAGAATAATATTGAAAATCATATCATGATCTCGAATCAAAAAAATGTATTAAGAATGTTATTTCTAATAGCACTTGTAGGGGCACTGAGGTTTATAATCACATGATGTGCCATATAAATACACCATATTATTGTTAAGTTTGGATACCATCATACTTCATCTCTGTAATTAAGTTTTGGAAATGTAAGACATAAAGGCGTTAATTCAATTTAAAATACGATAACATTAGAATCATTAGATCCCTTCGAATGTTAAAAATTGATATAACTCTTATAATTAAGAGCAAAGTAGGAATTTTGAATTCCTTAAATTGTCCAGATATTTCAGCCATTTTATTGAGAAATACTCCCTTTTCAGACTTATATACAGTCCAATCCATTATGGTATGAAATTCATCCCCAACCCTTCCTAAGTTACATTCATTACAAGTACTTAATGTGAAGGTATTTTTTCCAGTCGTCTATGTCTTCCAGTTTCTATCGCCTAGATGAACTAATTCTCAGTCTGCAGATATTTGTTCGTAATTGTACGGTTTTTAACAGTTAATACATATGATTCTGTTTGTATACTCTGCTTAAATAGTATATAATTATATTCTCAATTGATCGTGTTCTTGTTATGTACACACTCATTACATAAATCAATTTAGAACTGGCATTGCCAAAATCTTTAATTTTGGTTTATATTTCTAATAATTGTGTTGCTTTTTTAATATTAGGGAACTTGTACCCGAATTATTGGAATAATTTAAATAAAACTGTCTTTGATATATTTGCTAGATTAACCCTCGTGTCCTTGAATGTTCCATAATTATTAAATACAAGACCTAAATATGTTGCCTGTTTAACAATTTCAATCTTTTAACCATTCACCTTGAAATTTTGATCTTTCAACATCTTTCCGTTCTTGTTACAAATAGTCATGTTCATTTTGTCAATATTAACATTCGACAGCCATTTATTACAGTACACATAAAGTCTTTCTATTATGTTTGCATTTCAATTCTTGACTTTGATATCAATACAATGTCACCTGCATGCATTAAACATTTCACTAAACTTTCCATTCAATTACACGGGATGAGTATCAATAGTTCCCAACTCATGTGGCAGGTCATTTAGGTATAGCTTAAACAGGGTGGGACTTAAAGTACAGCCTTGTTTTACGCGACAATTGGTTTCAAAATACTAGGTTATCCTTTCATTCACCTTTACACTCAGTTTAAGGTTGTTATACATGTCAGTAATAATTTCGTAAACTGGCCTCCAATTCCACAGGTCAACATTAGATAAAACAGTCCTTTCCTCCAAACACTATCGAAGGCTAATATAGTACCGAAGCTGTGACATCATACAAATCTATTTTTTTGATTTCTCAATGTTTTCTTCATTTTCCAAAAGAGCATCACACATTTTGAATATGTTAAGTATTTGCTGAGATATGACTATCTGAATAAAAATATTCCCTATAGAAACTCAGTGTTATATCGCTCTTATTTTTGATGACGTTACACTTCACCACTCTTTTTCAGCAGATCAACAAAGCAAAAAATAGACATGACTCTTTTCACCAGCCTTGTTTGTTCAATTGTGGTTTTAAGTGTTAATATATGGTCTGACGTTCTCAAAATTGCATCATATCTAGGTGTTTCATTTACTTTAAGTTTGTTGATACATGTAAAAACCTAAGTAGACTCAATGGAAAAATACAATAAGCTAAAGGTCTTTGTCAGATTCTCTTCATTTAATAGTTGACTCTCAATAACTGGATGGTATGTTACGGTAAGTTTAACAACAAATCTAACCCTTAGGGTTCGACTTAAAATGTCATTTGGTATTGAGAGACAACATAGAGTCTTTTAAAGAAGTGTATTTAATCTTTCTCAGATCACCTGGTCGGTCAGATTTTACCATCTACCAATCTACCTTTCAAATGAATTTCAAATACAGAGAACTCTCTTGAATACATTGGATGGTATTCTCGAAAGCGGAATAACTTTAGTCCATGGTTTAATCCACCTAATAAGTATGGAATGCCAAGTGTCCATATTAATATATTTTTGAATAATTTGATATGTCCCTAAATTACCATAACATAATTATATCATAGTTATATTGTTGTTTATTTATTGTGTTATTAATTTCGTTTTAATTAGTGACAGATTAAATTATTCAAAAATATATTCATATGAACACTTGGCATTCCATACTTAGTCGGTGGATTAAACCATGGACTAAAATTAGTCTGCTTTCGAGGATACCACCCATTCCCTCTGATGTGTAAATTATGCAAAAAATTGTATTAGGTAACATGCTGTTGTAAAAAAAGGCTTGCATCAAATAAAAAAAACATTGCATGCTCGATCTTGTTATTGGAAGCAAGTCAGATTTTAACCTACGATATATTGCTTGCTAGGCAGCGACTTCATCATCAGGCCACCACTGGTCCATTACACGGTCATGATTATGAAAAATACCTCACATCTCCTGTAACATTGTGACATATTTATTTTGATCAGTCTTCCTTTAGAGCAAAAGCTTTGAATGTAAGATTTCCTGGGAGAAATTTCAATTGTTCTTAAAACAAACCTTGTCAAGTTAGAGCACGCGATGGCGGCTTCAAGAGGAATCGTGAGAGATATCAATTGTTGTAATTCAACTGAAACTTATTAATAGATACGAAAGTAAATATTTTCCAAAATAAATCATGGCAACAATATTAGTCTAGATATAAAAAGCCTATTCCTTTAAAAAAACATTTTGCATGCGTTTCGATTTTAAAGTTTAAAGTTTTATTTCAATTCGAATCCATAAAAAACAAATAAGATACTGATTATATACAATATAGAATACAGAGAACACACACAAAATGGAACAATGTTTACAATGACTATGCGTTTACAAGAACTTTGGATAGTACTACCCCGATTGCGAGAAAGAGAGAGAGAGAGAGATAGAGAGAGAGATAGAGAGAGAGAGAGACGATAGAGAGAGAGAGACAGAGAGATAGATTGAGAGAGAGAGACACAGAGAGAGACAGAGAGATAGATACAGAGAGAGAGAGAGATAGATAGAGAGAGAGAGAGAGAGACGGCAGAGATAGAGTACACAAGAAACAAGAGAACAACGATCATAGAATAATTATAGGGGCGATGGATCCCTGTGGATACCAGCTTTTGTCGTTAGGGTGTTCAACCCCATGTGAGGAGAAGAACAATTATGACTGAAATAAATGTTGAGCAGCGAAAAAGAAAAATTGACATGAAAATTGAATGGAGGAAGAAAGAAGGGTGGAAAAAGCGACAGAAAAGGGAAAGGTGAAGATGGAATAAGAGTGAAATAGATAGTGTGTGTGTGTGCGCGTGTGTGTGTGTGCGTGTAATTGTGAGTGTATAGTAGAGAAAGAGAAAGAGAGAGAATGACAGTTAAGGGTTATAAAAACAGTAAAAGAGAGATAGAGAGAGAGAGAGAGTGTGTGTGTGTGTGTGTGGGCGACATCATTACCATAAACATATTGACTCAAGACAATCCGTCGTAATGTTGCAAGGTCATTCATTTTAGTAAACACAAAAACATCACAGTATTGTTACCATGTTGGTTTATTAGCTTCATACCAACAGTCAAGCCAAAACGGAAGAAGGAAGAAAATCAAAGCATTCTCTGTTTGATCATTGTTGACGGCTGAACGTCAAATGTGCTCCTGTGAAGATTTCCCTGCAATAAATTTCCTACCGAAATTGAATTCATAACGCAAATTACGGAGGACTGTATCCTAACCGCAACCATGCTAATCTCAAGAAAATTGAATCTTTCACCATTTCATTAAACGGCAATTTGATCAAAAGAGTTCAATTCACCAAATGCTTAGGACATTTGATAGATGAAGAATTTAAATGGTCTAAACAAATCGAAAACTTAAGTTAACTTACCCAGAAAAACATTAGCATGATAAAGAGAGCAAAGAGTTTTTTGCCTCAAAAATCCTTAAAGTTACTTTATAACAGTCTAGTGTTGCCACGATTAGATTACTGCTCTGTTGTATGGTCGAACAGATTTTATTCCCATACAACTAAGCTGCAAAAAAATTCAAAAGAGGACCGCAAGAATAATATTGAACAAGACATATGACACACCGTCGGCTGATTTGTTCACAAGTCTTAAATGGGTGACACTAGACAAGCGGTTTGAGTTAAGTCGCGTTATGATGATATATAAATACGTTCATAACTTAGCACCTTCTTACCTTCAGGTAGGCTTAATCAATCCTAATGATGTACATGAGCATGTACGTGCATGTTCTGTAATATTCACATCATTGCTACGGTCCCATACTTTCACTTTCACATGATGATCTCGCTGTTTCCCAACCTATGGGAAGCAGGAAGTTACGCAGGAGATAACAAAAATGATTAAGTGGGTACTTAATTTCTAACTTATTCTCTGTTTAATCATTGTTGACGGTTGTACGTCACATGTGCTCCTGTGAAGATTTCCCTGCAATCAATTTCCTACCGAAATTGAATTCATAACGCAAATTCTGGAGGACTGTATCCCAACCGCAACCATATTAGTTACTCAATGAAGACAATCATGTCGGATCACCAATGCAATGTAAAAACATGCACAATTTGACAATAAGGACTATTCTTATTTGTTTGTTTTACCTGACTACTTAGAAAGCATATGTAGTAGTTTGAAGTTTGAATTTTATTTATTCCACATTTACATCGAAAAGCAATTCAATTTTTTTACAAGCTTATATTAAGTCAGAATAGATTAAACACACAAAACAAGTTAAAGATTTCAAATCAAGTATAATGTACGGAAAATAAGTATATACGAAGTTTCGAAATATATAGATTTGACAGGCAAGGTAAAACAATGTAACATGTGAGGAGCCTAAATAAAAAGCGTAGCTTGTATGTGAAAAAGGTATTATAGGAGACGAAAACGGAGTAGTGTAGTATGAGATTGTAATGACATACACGAAGAGTGAATGTGAGAAGGAAAGAAAAATAGAATAAAGAGAATAGGAAATAATGAAGGAAGAAGAAAAAGAAAACAAAAAATAAGTGGAAGAAGAAGAGGCAGAAGAAGAAGAAGAAGAAGAAGAGAAAGCAAATTGATGAAATCAATGGCATTGTAAAAAGAAAAGAAAAGACAGCTTTAAGTAATCTCCGAAAACCCTGGTAATGAGGATTAATGCCTTACCAAAGGGCACTGGCGCATCGACTTGGTTTCAAACCCGGGACTTCCCGGTTAAGAAACCAATTCTCTACCACGGAGCCATATAGCGCTTCCGTATTCTCTTTTGCAGAAGAAACGATAATTCGATCAAGGATGGAAGGGGAAAGGGAATACATGGTAGAAAATATGGACCACATTGGTAGCAGCATCATGAATATTGTTTCCCAAGGGGTTATAATTTTACCTCCCATAATTTAATATATAAATCTTACATTCTCAAATTACTATTTATGTTTCATTCATAATATTTGTTAAATTAATTGGTGAAATTCTCAATTGAATCTGTATAATAAAATGATGCTTTCGTTTTGCACGTGAAACATAAAACTATCTGTTCTGTTTGCAGCATACGTATCGGTTACCTTCATTCCAATTATACCATGCGAAAAAATCATAATGTATATCATAAACATATTTACAAAATGCATCTTCTTCACTCACTCGTTAAAAGGGGAATAATCCTATTACACAAAACCCTCCAGTTAGAAGTCCACCGCCAACAGTTCGAATAATGCCAATCAACGGAAATTCAATCAACTACAAGAAGATCTGTAATAGAAGAAATAAGTGATGTATTCATAGAGCGGTCGGAATAAACTGCTATATATTTATCGAAAACATACTTGAATGTTTGATTTTTTTACAACCCTTTGGTCCAATCCAAAATCTATCAGTTCTACATGGTATCTTCACCACTCTGTACCAGCATTATCATACGAAGCTCTAGAAAGTCTCTCCGGCGGAGCTAGCCTCCTGTCTCTGGGCGGATTTCCGCTGGAGTCCGAGTTGGGAACGGGCCGTCCTTCAGGTCTGATGAGCTGTTCTTGAGCGTTGAGCTGGGTTGTCCAGAACCGGAACTGGCCGCAGAGGGCGTCGTGAAATATTTAGGTAAGCAGCATTTGAACTGGGAACGCCATGTCAAGCGCACCTGAGGCTGTCTAACGCAATACAGCATGAAGATGAACAACCCCTGAAGAGAGTTCAGTACAGTAAAGATTCCTTGCACAACCGCACTGGCTGGTTGTATGATGCTCAGGTAACCAAGAGACCACGTGAGACCCATTAGAGTCAGGATGCAAACTGCATTCTGGAAACGTCGAATCCGCTGGCGCTTCTCCGTCTTGTCCAGGTGTTGTCCTTTCATAGTTTTGTTCAGTCGCATGAGGACCCGAACATAGATGACAAAGTTGAAGATCATGACGACACCAATAGGTATCAAGAGACCACCGATTACAGGCCAGAATGCAAGGAAGCAACTATAACAAAAAATTGAAATAAAATAAAACATCATCTTTAATAACAGATTTATATTTCGGAATTGAGTGTCAAAGACTATCACCAAGACTAGAGATAAATGTGCGTCACCTTTAGAAATGTGCAAACATTACACTGACATAAATATTACTAATATTAATACAAATATTAACGATACCAATGTTACATTGAGGAAGCGCCTTTTCATTATATAATATAGGCGGTAAAATAGGCTCTTGAAATGGCCTTTGACTTGATTTTGAAGTTCTTTAAGATCGTGTTAAGTCATGATGCCAATATAATGGGATGATATCTCTCACAGAGCGTCTAAGAACACGAAATTCAGTCTGTCACAACCAGGTGACATTAGATTAAAAAATCCTATCATAAAATCATGACAACACAACAGTAACAACAGTACAAACAAAAAAAAGGCAAATACGTGTTCAGAAGGTTATAGTTTTTTGAAAAGAAATCAATAATTTCATGGTCCAGTACTTAACGCATGCATATAATTAACATTCACCTACATGAATATGTATAAGTTCAAAAACAAATCGAATAATTATGAGATACATAACACCATTGTTTTCATAATGCAGAAGTAATTCTTCCTGCACTACCTTCGACGGCTGATGAATACAAAAACCTGTTGTGTTAAAAAAGATATTCTGCATGATCAGTGGCGTAGACAGGTTCGTACACCTGGGGGGGATGACTCAGGGGCGGATCTATCTTTTTGCTAAGGGGGGAGAGGTTGACCAAAATAATGACGATGCGGAGCATCGTCCACGAGCCGCGAAGCGGCGAGCCGATTTTTTTTTGGGTGTATATTTGAACCCCGTAAGTGATGTTTTCCTGGCATCTATTAACACAATGGAGACCCTAAAAAACGTCTTTTTAAATCAAGTAACAGTTAAATGAACAGTTATATCCAGAGTTATTATGTGTTTGGTTAAGTTACCAGATGAGTTGAATATCTTCTCACAATATTTGCACTTGAAAGAGTTTCTCTCCAGCGCGCGTTCTTTTTCTTTCTTTTTTTTTTTCTTTTTTTTTCCCTTTTTTTTTTTTTTTCTTCTTTTTTTGTTTGTTTTTTTGGGCCGCCCAAGGGGGGTTTAAACCCCTAACCCCACCCCGGGTGGATCCGCGCCTGTTTAATCTTGTGGTAATCTTGTGGTTTCCAAACAAAAAGATAACCACAAAATACTTGTAAGATTTTCTTTTTTTACCGTCTGAATTGGCTTTCACCGTGTGAATGCGGCTAATAACAATAAACACAATTACAATAATGATGAGGATTATTATTATCATCATCATAATTATTATTATTATTAATATTATAATTGTTATCATTATTGTTATTACTATTATTATCATCATTATGACTTATTACGTAAGCAAATATCATTCCCCAAAACCTGGGGGATGATTGTACATGCCATCCCCCCCACCTTGTGAGGTGGGGGGGATGCATCCCCCTCATCCCCCCCGTTGTCTACGCCCCTGTGCATGATGAAACTTACAAATCTGTCTGTGCGTAGTACTGTCTTGAAGCACCTGCAGTAATCCCGACTATTAACAAAGGGCAACCTACACAAAGAACAAACAATTTGAGAGTGGTCAAGTTTCTATTCGTCCTTTTCTTCCTATCCCTGTCCTTTCCCTCTTCTTTCTTCTTTCTTCTTTATTTTTGTCTTTCTAATTCCTTTCTATTTTTGGTTCTTTCTTTCTATATTTCTTTCCTTTTCGTCTCTCAGCAAGTGACCTACAAAATATAAAACACAACAGTAACAACAGTACAAACAAAAAAAAGGCAAATACGTGTTCAGAAGGTTATAGTTTTTTGAAAAGAAATCAATAATTTCATGGTCCAGTACTTAACGCATGCATATAATTAACATTCACCTACATGAATATGTCCTCATTCTTTCCGGCTTCGTTATTGATTTTTGCTATTTATTATGTTTTTAGTCTTGAAATTGTTATTGAATTAGTTTAAAAGGTGTAATGACAACGTTATGTGTTTATGCTACTTGATTGTATTGTATCTTGTTTTAATGCATATAGTTTACCTACGGAACCAGGGAGGGGAATGGGGGCAATCTTACCCCATGCGATCAACGAAGCTTTCTTCATAAACCGTGGCAAATAGTAATTTCGGACCAGTACGAGGAGGTTATGCATGTTGTAGCCCTCAACGGCCATCCAGAAAATTGCTGCCAAGATGAAATATTGGAGGAATGCAGCCAGGATCGAGCAAGGAAGAGGGGAAAGCTAAGTCACATCTTGTTCAGTGTCCACTGATATCGTCACTAAAAAGACCACATAGAGTCCTAGTAAGGCACAGCAGAGGGATAGGAGAATCTGGATGGGTTTCTGGTCTCGGAGCTTCCTGAGAGACGAAAAAGAAAACCAGAAAATACTCTGTGAATGTTGCATTATCATAATGGAATAACCAAATTCATAAACAAATTTACTTTTTCCTTGAATCCTCTAAAATGACCTTCAATTGAACATGTGGAAGTCTCAAACTGACTTGGAATATCTTTTTGCAGGAGAGGATTATTTGATTTCTTTCAGTTAGGGTTCAGGTTAGGATTAGGATAATCACATTTCTTTTCTCATTACGTTTAATACCGTCGACAGCTTTACTCCGAAACAGTCTACATTTAAGGCGATCAAAAATATTGTCATCGTATTAACGTGTGGTGGTTGTTATTTTACCTGACTGCTAAGGAAGCATAAATGCTTGTAAGTGAGCAACCAGACGTCCGACGGCTTTAGGTCCTCTCCGAGGGACCTGGTAATGAGGATTAACCCTAATAAGGCCGGGGGGCATTATGCCCCCCCCCCCCCCCCCTCCACGATTTTCCCGATTGCTCGGGAACGCATATGGATGGCGCCCCGCCGCTCGCAGACTTATTTCTTTCGAGTCTTGCGCAACTTTTAAAATATTTTTTTTGAAAATCGGACCTATGGTTACAAGGTCACGTGACCTTTTGTATTCGCATGTCAGCCCGAAAATCGCCCATTTTCGTGATTTGTGTTCCAAACATATGGAAAAGTCATTTTTCCTAAAAACAGATCAAACATGGGTTATAAGTTCTTGTTTAAAGTTTCGGTTTTTGTTTTGGGAGTCAAAATAGTTGAATTGTAGTAAGAAATGAAATCAAAATTGCTTTGTCGTATTATTATTCAAAATGGTCTAATGAATATATGTAGTGAAAAAGAATGCTTAAATATGAATAACATATGATTTATGGGTAAAAATGTGATTTGTATGACTTTATTTGCATAAATTACCATAAATATGCAAATGAGTGAATTTTTCAAAAAAATGAAATTATCATATTATTCAATACACTTCACTTGACATGCGTGCACATTTTCGCGGTGATCGGCCGAGATCTTAAGGGGGGGGGGCATAATGCCCCCCCCCCCCGGCCGTACTAAGACCTCAAATAGCCTGGCCTTTTTAGGGTTAATGCCTTACCAAAGGGCACTAGCACATCGCCTTGGTTTCAAACCCGAGTCACCGGATTACGAGACCACTGCTCTACCGACTGAGCTATCGCGCCTCCTCAATTTAGACATGTATTTTTTGTATTAAATGTTGATGTCTATATTAAATGAAACAAAGACGAACATGAACTTAAAGACCGTCAATACTAATGGGTCAGAAGGGATTAGACCACACAGCGAGGTCACTGACGTGGCTATCTCATTAACTCAGCTCTCAAGTAACATAAGAAAAAGAGGATCATGGGGGGACCAACAGGCACCGATTGGGGAAGTTTTCTATATAGAGGGAGCAAGTAGCTACAAGTATTACAGTGGGGCTTTAAGCGGATTCAAATTCTTCTCCATGTGCTGAACAACAATGCTTTTTTATTATTTATAAAGACAATGTCGCATAATAATTTGGCATTTAATAATGTTACTCACTTGTTTGTAGCAAATGTAACGATTGTCAGAACAAGGCCCAATATTGACATGAGGCAACCAACATAGCTAACGATCTCGAGGATAAAATCTGCCTCAATTGATAATTTTTCTCCTCCATATATATCCTATAACGGAAATAAAAATGAAGGCTCGAACTTAACTGAGAAAACATGACATTGTTATCTATTCTGAAATCGTCCACTTAAACACGAGGTACCCCTATTTTGGGATTCGAATTTCAAATCTCACGTTGACCTTATATGAGTAATAAAGAAAAATGATAAAACAATAATTGGGTCTTATTTACTCCGAGTAGCTTCATTGGTATTGCACGCTGATTCTTTATACGATGGAGTGAAGAATTAAACATAGAAAAAGCAGTATTTAACTAGATCAAAGAAATAGAATCAAATACATGATTTTATTCTATGGAAAAAGAACCTCGTATGTTTAATAAATATTATTATTACCCCACTGCTTCCAGGTATCCATTAAAAAATGCCTTGGTCTAAAGGGACAAATGTGAACAAAACACCTTCTCTAAAGATGGAAGCACAGGAATGGGTCGGGTTTTTTCATTTCAGTTATTAAGTTTGCCCCATTATGCATGCAACTACTAACTAACTAAAAACATGCAACTACCAATTATGTACATTATGCACACACAAAGAATACATACTTTAAAAAAGCAAGTGTGTGGACAAAGTGTGTGAACAAAGGCAAAGTTTCTTGGGAGGGTTAATCCCCTAAATAATCATACCAAATTGTAAACAGAGTGAAACAAAATGGGGGCGGTCAATTCAATGACCATTGCAGAGCTACGGAGATAATTACATATTTAACAATAAGTCTTGTTATAATAAATTTGTTTTAAAGCTTTTGAGTGATACAGGGTTGTTAATGTTATTGGTTTATCCATTACAGAGTACTTGGCCTCTGTACCTCACTCTTGTTTGTCTGTCGGTAGTTTTAAAGAATATAGAATATAGTTTATGTAAGGTTCTGATATGGGTTGTAGTTATGGATATAATCATTTTATATATACTAGTCACTATACCTTTGAGGCAAAGACCTGTTAACATATTTTAGCATAAACTACTGACTGGCAGATTTAGCCTGTTCAATTCAGTAAAAAGATTAAGAATAAATCAGTTACATGAAGATATTTCAGACGAAGAGTTTAACACGTACCAAGAGAATTCCGAAGTTAGTCAGATGATTACACTCGCATTCAATCCTGTCACTGGTGTCATTACTCGTCTTGTTACATCCACGTTGGGACCAGGCTTTGTTGTCAAAGTCCCAGGATACACACTGAGCATTGGTCCCATTCTGAAAATAAAGATAGAGTAGAAATTAAACTAATTTTTTTATGTTTTTCTCTAAAATGAAGTAAAATATAGTTCATTGTTATTGTAAATTTGTTTTGTTTTTTTGATGGATCTATGAAGTTCTTTGTTGCATTTGCAAATTATTGTTTATGCCAATCACCCTATGATATCACAGTCGAAGGTTTACACCAGATTCTCTTGATTTGTCTTACATATCCTCTTCATCTCTATTTCCTTACCTCATTCTCTCTCTCTCTCTCTTTACTATAGGTCTTTACTATTTGTGTATCCTCATGAACCCATTAATTCCTCAATTCATTTCTTCCAACTTTTAGTATTCTCTGCTTATCATTTCGTGTCATTTTACAACGTAAATATATCCATTGAGTGACGCGATACAATTCTGTATTCGCTATACGTTCAATAAATTAATTGTCATATCTTCTTACTGGATTTAGAGGAGTGAACGATATCCTGACTGGTTCGCTCAAATCCTCCACCTTTTCGTTATTGAAAGACGCCGATATGATCCTAGAATTCAAGGGTCCATTGTTCTCTTCTACATCTTGGTTGAACTGTGCAATCCCCGTATCCTGGAACAGAGATGGCAAGCGATACGTCGTGATGACGAGACGCCCTCTGCGTCCAGAGAACCTGTCCGCTAAACCCGATGGAATGAAGAGTGTAGTATGTGCCTGGGTGGCTTCTGGCTCTTGCGTAAGGTCACCTCTTTCCACCTTGAAGTCTTCGTCCGAGATGCTCTCACCGTTATCAGTTACAGTCATGAAGACAGTATAACCCTGGCTGATGTCCTCTGGAGTCACATCAAGTACCTGAAACGGAGAGACCGAATAAGGATGTTTAAAAAATATATATATTGTGGAATTGCGAACAATAGCAAGTTCAGGTATGAACAGATAGTTATCGACAGCTGGTCACAGAAACAATCCCTGCAATCGGGGAGCTCCAAACATGCCATTAAAATTGGTTCGCTACTGTTCAGATGAAGTTATGTATGGCTAATCTGTAGAAAACAAATTTAATCAAATTTTTCTAACATACATCACATAAGAAATGTGTGGCACACAAATTATGGAAATATGAAAGTGTGCAATTATATCGGATAAAAGTGATATTGCATGACAGATCTAGAAGCTAGCCTGACTTTACAAGAATCATTCCAAAATCAAAGAAGTTGTGTCAGTGTAATACTTGAAGAAATTTGTAATGGAGCTAGTTATTCTTCAATTCGTGTTATTGGTAGTGAAGGGAAAGGATACAATGACAAGCGAACATAGTACGTATTGCATCACGATCCAATTCAATATGACATTTTTCTTCAGTACCCGTTAGCACTTCGGTCAAGCCTGGGTCAATGTCCATGTACGGTTGGCTGTGTGATGTGTATAACTCAGTTATTTTTATTTTAATCGAGGTTATATGATCGGATAAAATCGATGAGATTCACAAAGCTCTTATCAGGCATGGCGGACAGGAAGGTTCATTGAGCTGATAATCATTTTGTACAAACACCTAATCCCTCAATCGCTCATTTGAGTATTATGACAGCCGAAGTGGAATGTCAAATATATTGGATATTTCAAAACTTCCATGGCATGTGTCCTTCTCTTAAACAATTGAAAATTACAGATTGTCTGCCCTACCTCAGCAGCAACATTGGTTTCCACAAACCGACTACTTCCATTTCCCACTTCTATGACAGCAAGCTGTGCTTCGAGAGCCAAGACTACACGGCTTGGCGAGCTATTCTCTTCCTCGGCCATACCAAGCAGTTCGTCAGGTAAAGCTGCGATGTTATTTACAATTCCTACCATAGATTCAGCCACCTGTCGTTCAAGAAAATGAAATATAGTACGAGTACCAGTTAAAAGTTGTGATTGCATCGTGACAGAATAATGCTGAGATCTTCCTTTGTAATTGACTTATGTAAGTATCGCCTTGAAAAACCTAGTTATCACTAGACAGCACTTGAATCGAGACTATTATCATGTCAGGAATATACTAAACATTTTGAGACAATGAAAAGGGGACCGTAAACTTGTTTATTAGCACTTCTAGATATGAAATACCGGCTAGAGTAGTTCAAGCATTCAGCTGATAGAAACAGGTATTTTTTCTAATAAATAGATCCAAATGAACTCGAAACAAATACCCACCTTTGTTTCTGTAGAATTTATTTCATTTATATCCTCAAGAAGTTCTGCAACTACGTTGAGACCCTCTAGGAAGATGTTCTGGCCCATACGTGTGACGTTTTCCAACTCTTCAGCGACATTTGCTGCGTTATCTAAAGTAATTTCTACCTGTGAAATCAAATGCAGAATTCATCAAACAGAGAAACAGACAGAGAGGAAGATTAACTGAGAGAGAGAGAGAGATAAACAGAGAGAGAGAGATGAGAGAGATAGACAGGAAGAGAGAGAGACAGGAAGAGACCGAAATAGAGAGAGGAAGAGAGAAAGAAAGAGAGAGGGAATATGAGAGAGAGAAAAAGAAAGAGAGAAAGAAAGAATAAGAAAGAGAGAAAGAAAGAGAGAGAAGGCTAGCCAAATATGACTTACTTTTATTATAAACTGTGAAAGTTTTGTTTATACCATAGATCTTGGGTTTTCCTCAATAACTAAATATAAAGTTTTTTTTATATTTCAATTTAATTTCAGTTTCATTTATATTTCAATTCCCTTTTCATTGCAATTCCATTAATTTTTCAATATTATTCCATTTCGAATTTCATGTTTATTTGCTAACAACGTCGTTTCAAAATGACGGTCCTGAAATTCAAGAATATACTGACGTTTCTTAAGATCTCAAGAATCTCTTCAGCAGTCAAGTTCATTCCGCAGCTCAACTCTGGTATAAACCTCCTACAAGAACAACCTACACATGCACCAACTGTAGCCTGATCCTCTGAAAAAACAAGAGTTATATATATATATATATATTAAATATTGATAAAAATTTTGTTTTCGACCGCGTCATACCAAAAGACGTTAAAATACGGGATTTGCTGCTACCTTGTTTGGCATTCAACAATAAAAGATAGAGAAACGTCGATCTGGCGCTGCTCAGTGGCTGCCGAACTCACGAACAATTGGGCAAAAAGAATTTCCATTTTCGGTTTAACTTAATAACATTTGGAGTGGACTTTAAAAGATTATTATTAGTAGTAGTAGCAGTAGTAATTCATATATGTGTCCTATAAGAGTATCCCTGACGTCATCATGTTCAATTGTCTACGTATTAGCCTATCGAAATTCGCTACTAATACATTAACAAAGTTAAGAAGTCTTAGACTGTTCGTGGGGAAAGGCCTCAATCCTTACACAATGCTCTACAATATCTGCTCATTAGTGGATTTATCAATGTCCTTTAAAATTCGCTTTGATTACTTGTAGACATATGATAATGTATAATTACAAATTAGTTTCATTTTCTATATTATAAAATTGATATCAAATGACGTTAACTTTGCAATTGCAAACGTTAATTATTATCAATAATGTAAGCATATTCGTCATGGTTTGATTGAGTTATGGAAATACAATTATTTGAAATAGATAATATCTTTTTCATGGATTAGATAAAAGCACTCCGCGTGATAAGAAATATTTCTAATAGACACCAGCTAGAGGACAGAAAATATGAAGAATATGAAAAATATCAATAATTTGAAAAAAAAATTAATAGCTAATTAATTGGATAAATATAAATATATAAATAAATAATGTATTCATTGATTATTCTAAATTGTAAAAAGGAAAGAAAAACAATACAATGGATGAATTTTTGACAAACCTTGGCATGTGTAGGCTACCTCAAGGTACTTATATGTTCTAATGCACGGATCATCACCAGCGAGGTCATTCGTTGCATTAATGCTGCATTGCGATCGGCCGTTACAATATGGACCGAGAACAGCCAATACGTCTAATGCACAAGAAGTGTCAAATATTTGTCTGCCAGGACAGGTTGTTCTGTCCCTTCGTCCGTAGACAGCGGTAGAAATGTCGATTAGGCCCTCTTCGCAATTAATTTCGATCAACGTCCTCTCACAGATAATTATCTTAGTTTCTGGAGAAAAGAGAAGACCATGTTGTTTATTCATCTTTATTCAAGAAAGTATACATATAACATAATAATAAAGATGTGACATAAAACCCAGGACAGAGATTTGTATTACATTAAATGTATCTCATGCAGGGTTAAACAATTACAATACACAGTAACAAAACGAAAAAGAGAACACCATAACGTCAGTGTTTTAAATGAAAACATTAATAATTCCTAACAAAATAACAAAAACAAAAATAATTATTATTTTCTTAGTTAGCAATGCCTCATAATACATTTACATACCGTGGTCATATCTATCAATATCTTCTTAATGAGTAATCAACCACGGGAACCTATCTCCATAGAGAGAGAGAGAGAGAGAGAGAGTTGAAGAGGGGGAGAGAGCGAAAGAAAGAGAGAGAGAAGGAGAGAGAGAGAGGGAGAGAGATAGAGAGGGAGGTCCCGTTATAACAAGTTATAAACGTATCCTAATTTAAAGTAATTACACCTCCAAGTGTTGTAGTGACTCCAAGTGAGTTCAGATAGGCTGTAAAAAACAAAATAAACCCACATAATATACTTTTAAAATATTACTTTTCCCAATTACATAATTATGCCACACCTTACATTTAGGTACCGTCATCATATCTGTCAATATAGTAGCATGCGTAATCACACCACGAGAACCTATCCCCATAGAGAGAGGGGGAGATAGAGAGAGAGGGGGGGGGAAGAGAGAGAAAGAAAGAAAGAGGGAAAGAAAGAGAGAGAGAGAAAGAGGGAGAGGGAGAGAAAGAGGTCTCGCTATTGCAAGTCATACAAAGTAGTTAAACCACTTACACTCCCAAGTAATGTTGTGATTGCCAGGTGCGTTCCGACCGGCTGCAAAAAATAACATACGACCCAAACAGTACGGTTTTCAAGATTTCATTTCTCAGTTGTGGATACCTTACTTTGCATTTACATATTTTCAACATATCTATAAGTCTTTTCTTGTTGTCAGGAGTTATCAAACCTCGGGAACCTATCTCTATACACAGTAATTTGGGAGTCCAGCCGGCTTCTGAGATATCATGTATAAGTCCGGCGTACCTGTCAAGCTTTCTTTGGTGGGCCTGTTGAATGTTGGTTTCAAATGGAATTGTCAACTCAAATACTAGTATTTCCTTTTTTCTAAAATTAATGAAACATATATCAGGTCTTTGTCCCTCCACTGATTGTCTCCCCTTTCACGTCAGCATATACTTGGTGATCACTATCAAGGCCGTTCTGTTTAATGCTCTTTAGCAGATTATGTACAATGTTATTATGACGCCACGTGTATCTATTTAACATTTCCTGAAAATTATTCAATACGTGATGCAAAGTACATTTGGCTTGACATAAACTACACAAGTCATTTATTCGCTTACCCCATCTATACAAGTTTTTATTACTCGGCAGACTATCAATCGCTGCATTTATTGCAAACTTCATAACTCCTTGTGGTAGATTGAAGATGGACTTCCAGGACAAGTCACAGTTTTCTATTTCTAGTACCTTCATGAATTCACCTTGGACTAGGAGAGGTTCTATTTCATTTTTCCACTTCTTCCTGCTTTCCTCTTTCAGGTTCATTTTGACTGATTTTTTAGTTTCTTTCCAATTCGTTTGTAAACTGGTTTGATGAATTTGGTGTGCAACCTGGATTGTAGATGACTTTCTGGTCCAGTTTTCCTCTCTGGCCAGTTGTTGATTTAGGGCATGAACTACCATTTCGTCGCCTTTAACTTTCAATCTACTGTAGGCAAGGCAATGACATGTTTGGTATAGTTCAGAGATAGTGGGAATATTAAACCCCGCTGGGGCATGACACCGGGGGATGCCCATCCACTTGTTAATGTATTTGTCTAGAAGTGTATCTAGTTGTAAAAGGGGAGTTGCATGAAGGTCATGTACAGTTAACATATATCTCATAGAGGAGAGAGCATAATCATTAAGGATTTTTAGCTTATACTCCTTTTTTATGTTTACACTATCTATATTCGTGAGGGAACTATCAACCTTAACTCTGATGAAATCATATGTTTCTGAAGTCTTCATCTTGAAAGTAATTTGAGATCCTAGAAATGTAATAGGATTATTTTGTACAGATGCAATTTGTTCCCTAGCTAAGGAAAAATCAATAACTGTTGGTTTACCGCCTGAAATTGATAAGGAACGACACTTCTTAGCTTTGACTGTTAAGCCCATACTACTGAGAAGTTTATCTACTTCTTGAACAAGTTTTTGATGATACCTTTTATTTCCAGTTATCAGGTTGAAGTCGTCGGCATACGGGGTAGTTATTAAATTCTGGCCGGCGAAATCGTAACCATATTGCTGCTTCTAGGTTTCAAGATATTCAATGATTGGGTTGAAGCACATGAGAAATACAATTGGGGATAGAGGGTCTCCATGAAAAACCCCTTTCCTGAAAGCAAAGCGTTCCGATTGCCACCCCGGACCGCATACTCTGCCATTCAGTCTTGAGTAGAGAACATCAATGTAACGGGCTACTGGTTGAGGTATTGCGTAACGGCTTAATGACGTAGAGATCAGCTGATGACTCACGCTGCCAAACGCGTCAGCCAGGTCGAAGAATGTGATGTGCAATGTTTTTTGTTTACATCGAGCATGTTTCATAATTTCATGTACGACTTGGTTGTGTTCTATACAGCCGTTCACTCCGTTAATGAATGCCTTCTGGACCCGTTTATCTATGAATTCATTGGCTGTGAGATAGGTTGACATTCTCTCCGATAAGATCTGATTAAATATTTTACCAATGCAACACGTCAAAGATATCATCCGGAAATTTTATGGTTTTGTTGTTTCACCAGATTTGAAAATTAAGGCAACCTTTTATTCGGACCACATTTCGGGGGGATCACCACTTTCCAAAATATTATTATATAATGTTGCCAGGAAGTGGTGGGTACAGTACAAGTGTTTTAGCATACCATATATCAGACCATCATCACCGGGTGCTAGCTGATCTTGCCTTTTTTCCGTTTCAGAACATTCCTAACATCCTTGGGTTTGAACGAGTTCATATCGAAGCTTTGGTAGTTTTCCGAATTCACGTTGACGTACGGGAACCAGGACAACGACGTAAGATCAATAACATTGGGGACGCTGTACTTTGTACAAAAATATTCGTCCGCTTCCATCTGAGAAAACGTTGGCCGAGGTGACTTTTCATGTAACGAGCCATTACAAACTTTCTTCGATAAATCATAGAAGTTATCCCGAAATTTTTTCTCCAAGTGGGCTCTAGACGTTTCGTCCCTGTGTTCCTTTGTTTTATTCTTTAAGTACGATATTGTTTTTATTGCAAGTTTAAATGCTTCCCGGTCCTCCTTGGTTGCATTTTTGCCGAATGCTTTTTTTCGTAGTAGGTTTTTCCGTTTCCTAGCCTGAGTAAGTGTTTTTGGTTCGTGTTCAATATATATCTGGTTGGTTTGATTTTCCAGAAATTCATTTTGCTCCTGAAAATATTCAGTCACGATATCGACAAAAGAGTTTGCTGCCTCTTTAGGGCTAACAATGTTGGAGCCAAGATCATAATGAAGGGGGGCGATGCGATCTTTCACAGCTAGGTTGTGAACGTTCCATTCAGAATCACTCAAGTATGGGATAGTGAATCTTCTACCTTCTGTTCTTTTAATGGCAGCAATGCAGAGAATGACTATTGAGAGTACGTACCTGAACTCCATGGTTAGGCCTTTATATCAAGCGGAGTCTTAACAAAGAAGCACGCCTGACGTAGCGGCGCAATGGAAGGTAATCTTCCGATAGGTGTAAATGATTCACAGTGAGATTTTTGTCCTCGTAAAATATCAAAATATCCACAATTTCGCACACTAATTGGTCTGCAATATACCGGTATACGAAGAGCACAATACAAACTCACAAGAAGTATCACATAAAACAGGATGAGGGGCAGCCTGCTGACAAAATTTGCAAATTTGCAAAGGAAGACCACTGGCTTAAAGTAGCATGATCAGTATGAGTATGTAAATCCTCGCCCTTAGTTCGCAGTTGTTAGATAGTTGTGTTTGCATTCAGACCCTATGGAAATACGAAGGCAAGGGACGAATAACGTGAGATATCATAACCGTTATTATAAGTCATGATATGCATACACTAGTTGCAAATATTTAAATACCTAGACATTTAATTCGTCATGGAGATGGTTTAGGTGATTTGCCGCTGTGATCAAGACATAGCACATGTAGAAACTCAACGGGATATTCGGCACAGCCCTGACTGTCACAGGAGTAGGCGGTCGTAGGAGTATTGGGTCGTACAGAGCAACAAGAAAAGCAATGTTGACGGTCGAGAATTGAGAGGAGAAATTGTGCAGATGAGAATTGTAAGAGAGATAAAGTATTGATGGAGAATAAATAAAGAACCTAGAGCATTCACCGAATCTGACCATGGTGAGGCTAAAAGGCTAGACAGGCACAAAATAATGACGGAGGAGGGGAATATAAATATTATTTAACGTTCTTTCATAATCAATATAGTTACGATATGAAATTTACAAATGTCCTATTTCCCCCGCTATGAGGCGAAGGGTAGCCCTAATTCAAAGTACAACTGTATTGTGATCAGGGGCGTAAATCCCGGGGGGATGGGGGGGACGCATCCCCCTGGCTTGAAGTAGGGGGGATGGCCTGTACTATTACAAAAAAAGAGAGAGAAAAAAAGGAAGAAGAAGAAGAAGGAAAAAAATGTGATTGTTTCAATTT